CACCGACGACATGTTACGACGTCAAAGAGACGATCCTGAGTTGCGCGCGCTAATCGAGCAGCTCGAAGGACGAGGGGGTACTGTCCCCCGTGTCTTCTCGAGAGCCCTGCCGACTTTCGTCCTCCGACAAGGTGTACTTTACAAGGAGAACCTCGGAGACAACCCCTATGAAAATGGTTAATGCCATTTGAAAGTCATATTATTGCCAAATGGCAACAGCTGTTTACAAATAGTCAATCAGCAGGCAACAGATGTTAATCGTCACTGAGACGTCACCCTGCTGACCCGGATAGCCATTTCGCCACCGTCAACTTTTTGCCGTTCTATTGGTTATTGTCGGTGTATCATCAGTGTATCTACATGTTAACGTTAAATGGCTAAAGGAGGCAATCAAAGAACTATACATTTTATAGTGTTTTGACTGCCTCCAATAGCCAATTAGCATTAGCATGTAGATACACTGGCAATGCACCGACAATAACCAATAGAACGGCAAAAAGTTGACGGTGGCGAAATGGCTATCAGGGTCAACAAGATGACATCTCAATGACGATTAACATCTGTTGCCTGCTGATTGACTGCTCTTAAACACCTGTTGCCATTTGGCAATAATACAAGATGGCATCAACCATTTTTATATGGGAATAATTATCACATAGATGTCATTTGATCGAATTTCGTGACCATTTCGCCATTGTCAACCCCTCGTAAACTTTAAGCTGGCCAGCCGAAAAACTGCAATAGTTTACATGGCCTACCATTGATTCCATGACTGATACACATAGTGCCGGCTTGCAATATGGGAAGAAAACAAAGATTGAAAGACAATTTAAAGACCCAAAATTTATTTATCACAATGTCATTAAAATGACGTTTTTTTTTCAAGACTAAGTTAATCACCCAAATGTAAACGATGAGTGAAAAAATAACCTTTCCTTGCTTCCTGACATGTCTGTAAGGTGTCAGCTGAAAGAAGAAAAACATTATAAATTAAGTGGGCATATAACCAGAAATATTCTTGCAGCACATTCAAAAATATGCACAGAAGAACCTTGATCACATGTTTTCTCGGCTGTTATGTTCACGGAAACCGGTCCTATCGAACGTCCAAAAGTATATATGTGTTAGAATTACAGGCTTCATGAATTTCCTTCTTGGTTCTTATGCCCAAACACTGCCACTCAAGGTGGCCGGCATGACTACTAGGAACACATACCTTGTTCCTTTTGCTTTACTCCCTTTATTTTACCTCCTTGCCTCTCTGCACTGTGTTTCTTGCTTGGTCCTGTATGACAATAAGAGATTCAGGCTCTCACGACACCCCATTTTTCTTTACCACCTCCATGCCACCATGTTCAAGCAGTGCTGATTGCATCAAGCCCCACTGCTTTGATGTGGCATGCAGGGTGCAGTGATTTGTTTGAGGCAGCTGTGGTTTAGCTCGATGGGCTCAGAGTTTTTGCATCCTTATATTTCAATATTTTCTTAACTGCAACTATAGACAACGCATCACTGCAATGGCGCGGCTGTCGGCACAGCACATGTACACACTTGTCTGCTCACACGAATCTAGTTCCTGCGTATGTAGTGCCCATAGCTGCTGTGGGCAAACAAAAGCTTGTCTGTAAACAGTGTGTTACTTATAGTTCAACCACAATTTTAAGAAGTGTTGAAAAAATTGTCAACCTATAAAATAAGACAATCTTTTTTACAGCCATAAAATCTAAGGTGAAATAAACAGAGTGAATATAGCTTCCTGAAACATCTATAGCTATCCCAAAGGCATTATCAGTTGTTACATCTTCGCTCATGTCATGATCCTTTATTGTGACTGCATAAAGATGCAGCAGCAGGGTTCTACTGTATTTCACACAATGTTTGAATGTGCAATAGCTTTAACTTCCACAACACATCAGCCAACCACAGGTTGTCAAAATTTCAACTCCACAATAATGTAATAAGTATGAATACAATAATAATCCCTGGGAAAGGGGTACAAGAGGGAGAAAGGTCAAAGAGGAATCCCCTTTGTCCCCTTGTTCCCCATTTTATTTGATGTGATTATTATCGTCATTCTTGTCTTGAATAAAAGGGTCTACTCGTGTCTCTTAAGAGAGGGAAGCAGCTTACCTGGAAGAGCATAGCGCCCCCGGGACAGAAATCGAGAGATGCTGTCCTCGACTTGCTTCCCCACATTGCTGTACTCCGTGAAGGTGCGAGCTGAAAGAGCAAATGAGAATTGCAATTTAAAATGATAATAGCCCCTAGAAAGCTACACTCAAGTATTGGTACCCTTTTCCTCATTGTCCAGTTCTGCCAAAACGGTCATTCATCCATTTGGATGGTGAAATTCGTTCATGCGCATGCAGCTTGTGGGCACTGCCATGTTGTTATTGCGTCATTACTTGAATTTAATGTAAATATTCACTTCACCTTAGACAAAGATTTATCTATTACTTTTGATAAGATCTTTGGATGCTTGGTAATTTTAACAGCAGCCTGGGGGGCGCACTCATAGATGCACCACTCTTCAATCAGTTTGGGGAGTGCGTCTTTAAACGCTCACTCTTTTTATCGTACGGGAGGAAGCACCATATATCCCCTAACATCGGAAATAATTTTCCTTTAGAAATTAAAGCTATGATGGTAGCAAGTTTCATACAAAAAAATATAAACAAAATAGGGACAAAAACATTTTTTTTTGGTCATGGGTCCCCAGTCAAGGGGTCAAGAAATAGATTAATCTTGTGTGTTAACATTTTTTTTCAAAGCAAAAACATGACAGGACTATGTTATCAAGTGTATAGCTCTTTTTACTGTGGTCATAATGAGGTGGCATAGCCTTTGTCATTTGCCCAATAATGCTCAACAAACACAAAACTAAAACAAAAATTCTCGCAGACCAAGAGCCATTACTACATGCAGTGCAAGTTTTGAGGGTAAACATTTTGGCAGAGGCCTGCCTGGTCGGGAGAAAGCTTAAAAACTCAAAAACATCCGTCCACACGCCCGCATCTGTGTTCCCTACATAAAGGGGACTAGCGAAGCGCTGTCATGTATGCTGGTAAAAGAAAGTATTCAGGTGTCCCACAAACCGGTATCAACACATTGACGTATGATGCTGCGAATTAAAGGTCATCCCTCTAAACAAAGAGCGCAGGGCATTGTATATTCAATTCCATGCCACCTACATTGGAAAAACAAAGAACTTCCCAGAAAGAATTCAACAACACAAAAACAACTGCAAATTCGACCACGAACGCAGCACTTTTGCACAGCACTGTGAGGACAATGAATATCGCATCAACTTTGCCAACACCCTCATAAATGTTCAGACAAACTTCTGCCAGCAGCTTTTTATAATCATGGCATATCCAAACAACACCAGGAAACATCAATAGGTCCACTGGCACATTGCCATCATGTTACGTGAACGGACTCAGCCACCTAACGAAGTGAAAAAAAGAGACTATCGTAGAAGAAAACGAAGCTGTTGTCCCCTATCTGGAAGCAGTCACCCCTGAAGAAAAAAACAAGCTGTTTTTGAAACGTTGGGACCTTGTTGTAGGATATGGTTGGTGATTTTTTTCAAATTCCAATGTATGAGTTTTGCATTTGTTTGAGTCATCATTCACTTTTTTACCATATTTACCCGCATAATGAACACACCTCTTTATTCTGAAATTGACATATATTTCGGGGGTGCGTTCATTATGCAGGGTAAATTTCTGCATTTACACACTTCGCGAAAATGTAATTTTAGGTGGCAGTATGACACGGCAAAGTACTGTGGCATGTCTCCACTGACGGAGGCACATTGACGGCTGGTCGTGGGCGCGCTACAATAACCATGTTCTACAATTTGAAAACCTTTTTTTAGGGTGCTTTCGGTGTGCCTTCTGTCAAAGGAAAAGCGCCCTCCTAGTGAATAGTAAAAAAATCTTGCATGTAAGAAATTTAGGTGTCCAATAAAAGCATATGACCAAATAAGATCATATAATAACCTTATAAAAACATATAAGAACAATATAGGAAATATATAAGATTATATAAGAAGTTTTAAGGAACTGAAAAGAAGTTTCTTATAACTTCAAATATAATTTTATATTGTTCTTATATGTTTTTATAAGGTTCTTGTATTTTCTTATATGATCTTATTGGATCATACGCGTTTGTTGGACATACATTTTTTTTATACATTTAAGATTTTTTTACTAGGGAAGCTCACTCAGCATGGTGAGTGACGCGACCGTCCTTAGGCCTAACCACTTTCACGATTTCACTGTCCGAAAGCACACTACAGATGACCGCGTGTTTGTTGACATCAATGCGTTCGGTGGGCGAAACATGTCCAAAGCTGGGCAATTCCTCGACCCCAGCTTTGTTACGTGTATGCGCCGCTCGGTTTCACTCTTGATCACATCCGCAACTACACACTTGCAGTCATGAAAGCATGCACCGCTATGCTTTGCCTGGTTTGAAGTGGCCTGGCCGCTTGGCGGCGAAAGAAAATTGGCTTGATGGCTAGCCCAGTTGGACGTAGTTTGAGACTCATGGAGCGAGTAGACACGGTAAATATAAACATTCTAAAAACTTCTCAGGTGTTCCTCAAGCTTTGAGTACTGTGACCTATTTAAAGCTTGAGTAATTAACATTCACTTCTAAGCTGACTGTAGTGGTAACTACGCACCCACCGGATCAATCAACCACCTCCCTCTTGTTACCTGACCCCGCCTTCTGCACATGGTTATGGGCGGGAGTGTAACACATGGCGAAAGGTAGACATATGACTGGTCCAACGAGCATGTAGCTTCTTCTACGATTTCAGCTGGTCATTCAACAGAGTATAGTGATGCAGCACAAAAATATTTGTGCCATTTCAGAATGTCTGAAGGAGAACACACCCTCAAACATCCTGAAACTGTAGAGAGTTTCCTGCAAAGCCACTCGATTTGATTGGCCAAGCAGTAAATAAAAGGTACACTCACCAAAGCACTGTGTTGCCCATGATAAGCCTGCAACTCCCTTCAATAATTGGGAAACAACCAAAAAGCCACAGGAATGTAACACTGGATCCTGAAACAGAAAAGAAACAGCAAAATGCAGGAATTAACACAATATACAAACCGCTTCAGCGAGTGACACTTAAAACTAGCTACAGTTCTTTGGGCACCGTCTTTTTATTACAGATAATTGTGAGTGAGGACGTGCTGTCATTATTTTTCTAGCCCTGTAAACCTTTCCCATTCGAAGGTCTCCGACGTCGGTTTCGCAAACTTCATAAAATCTGCCATTGCTCCATTATCAAGTTCTAGAGCAAGTGACAAGTTAAAATTTCAATGGTGGAGGCTCACAGACATTAAGCACCTGCTTCAAGCCCCTCGGCTGTCGAGAAAACACTATGTCAACCGCTCCGAAACATAGGTTTTGTGCAGAAGAGAGATTGAAGTATGCTACTGATTCAGTAGAACTACATCATATTCATCAACCATTGTTAGCCGATTCACTATGCGACTCATCGTGAAAACGAGACTTGGACTTGGCCAGGGCAATATGTTTTACAGAGAAATGTTTACCGATTTGAAGGACGCTGTCATTTCATTAAGCAGCCTTATATATTTGCTCTTTATGAAGCAGATGAAGAGGAGCAAAACACAAATAGTGCTATGGACAACGGCAAGTTGAAGAAGTGATAGGACAAGCGCTACTTGTGGTTCTTCAACTTGCCCTCGTACTGCCATTTGTGTATCACTATTGTTTGAGCAACTTGTCAAGCGGTTCAATTTAGTACCCGTGAAGCGGCTTGTCAGTGGCCTTGTCACTAAAGCAGGGAACATGCAGACAAAAAATCACTTTGATGGTGATGACCACAACATTTTCATGTCATCTCAGAAAAATCGCCTCCCCCCCCCCCCCCAAAAAAAAAAACAAAGCTGATCCTGCACTTATGTTGCAGAATGTGTGAATCGTCTGACGGCAGAGACTGGAGGGTCACACTGCAGTTCTCTTCGTGCGTTACACTCCCAGTTTCAATGCAGTGACCAATAAATGTATCGGTGATGCAAAAAAATAGAAAGAAAAAAAAAGACATTGCTCTGAATATTTTGTTGTTCCCCTTATTTAACTTATCAAAACAAATTTCCCGTTAATTGGACCTTAAGATAAACGTGATATGACGACCTATTAAGGATAACAGCAATCCAGTCCTCGTCAAATTAACTGAGGGCAATAAAAAAAAAACAAGGAGGTCATGCAATAATTGTATAGGGGAATGGCAACAGTCCCAGGAAGATATGCTTCAGTTTGTGCAGTATCATTGATTTCCTCATCAGACAAGTGTCATCAGCTTTGGCCACTGCTCATGCATTACATTTTAGAGTGAAGCACACTGTACAATGGCATGTTTACTCCATGACATGCCAACCTTTTGCTGGGTTCCCAATTATCCTGAATAACACAAAAATTTGCAAATAAAAGAAGCAGTTAGATCAATAGGTCACAAAAATCTATGTGAAACGAGCAGTCTAGATCAGTGCATGCAGGGTGACTCCATGTGGGGCTGTATAGGAGCTTTACAACTACCCCAATAGCTTGTTAAATCAAACCCAATTATCCTCTGCTAAATGTGTGAGCTACACGGTCTTGGTAGACAGCTCAAATTCCTCACTTACCCCGCATATAAGTCCTAGAGTTGTATTCACACTGCTTGCGTTTGCTTTGGCCTCCACCCCCCCACCCATTTTCTCCCACACTAGGTGGCAGAAACACTGTTGTTATTCTGCATGTGGCTGATTATTAAAAGCCTTTTGGCTTTTCAATTTAAGTAAAATCACATATTGAAAAGGAGCTTATTGCCTAGTAATCAGGTCTACGAGAAAATTTTGAAGTGTAGAATATATGAAGTTTGCTAGACCTATGGCGGACAATATTTACCCTCCAAATCAAAGCAGCACCAAATGTGTCAGCCATGTGCCCATGACAACTTCAGATGAGACTAATGACAAATGCATAAATCATATGATAATTACAGAACGACCCGATACTATGACCCAGCAAGTTGAACAAGCTTACGTGAACACGCTTACAAAAAGATATCTAGAATGCCAAAGAATCAATGGAAATAAAAATAGGAAGACTTGACTGATCCTCTCTGAAGTCCCGATCATGGTATCAATAGCATGCATCGATGCTTACAATCATGCTCTGCGGTGTGGCTAAAAAACACACCTGAGTGAAGCTCCCAATCATTATGCTCTTAGGTGGACAAAAGGCTCACTTCAAACAGCTTTCAGCAATAAAAAGAAGCATGCCAGATACTAACATAACATGGTTTCCCCAAAAATAAAACATATAAATCTCCAACATCTTTAGGGGCTAAGGAAACAACCAAGGACGCACAAGAATGAAGCAGCTCATCCCAAAGTGAATGGAACGCCAAGGTGCAACACATCGCTCTCCTAAGCAACTAACACTACTTACAATTTTTTGAACACCTTCCTGGTACACTAAGAGCGGAAATATTAATTATAATTACATGTGGTGCATCGCCTTCAGGATTGCTGGATGATGTGAAACTCTGGAAGATCTTCAAGATTAAAGTGAGCAGAAATTTTTTACTTGGCCTGAAAATGTCTCATACTTTGTATCTTGTTCAGAGTTAAGCAATAACACCATAGCTATCTACTAACACATTACTCCTAGAAAGTATCACCTACGTAAGACAAGAATGATTCAGACACTACCTATTGTTAGCGCCATTTTGTAAAAGAGACTTGCACAGTCTGCTCACTTTCCATGTGGCACACCCATGAGTTCTTTCGCCGGGCAGATGTGCCAGACGCATATTAAATCTCTCACACCGGCCTCCATGTCCACAACAAGGCTCTAACATTTCAGAAGTGTGGTCACATGGCCATGCTCCTCTGCAGATTGACTGCTGTAGTGACATGTAGCTCAACAGCGGTGGACTTCTCCTACTAGAACCTCAACATGGAAGGAACGAATTCTCAAGGGCTACGGCAGATTGTGCGGAACTTGAACTGACCGGCTGTGGCAGCAAACCCTCTCCAAGTTCCAGCCACCATTTCAACAGGGACAACGGGGAGCACAGGCTTTGTCAGTAGCGACGGCACCCCCACGAGCCAAAGTCCGTGGCAGCACCTGCGACAAAGAGCCCTTGCATAATCCCTGTCACCACTCCGGCTGGGATCACAGGGAGCACAAATGATGGCGGTGGAGCCACCACGAGCCAGAGCTACATGGCAGCACCTGCAGCAGCGAGGCCTTCACAAGTATACCACTCACCATCTTGAATGGGAACTCGGGGAGCGCAAGCGTCGGAAAGTGACGACAGCGCCACCACCAAAAATGATGTGGCAGCACAAGGACCAGTTTCTGATGACAACAGGCGCTGACATCCAAGTCAACTTGGTGGCTGTCCAACCAAACAGACGTGACGGGTACCTGAGAAGGCAAATAATGTTTTGTAGTGATCGAAGTGGCCAAAAAGTTGCCAAGCGAAACTCAGCACTCAACTCTAATGATGAGCCACGCTGTTTCGACTATGATCGACATATGTCTGTGAATCGCTCTAAACCGCAGAAATGTGAAGGCTGCATCAATTTTAATGGACATGGACAATTAATGGACCATTTTTGAGTGCAGGCCACAAACTGCCAGCGAAAACAGTGATGAAAACTCAAGTGAGTTACTCCGACACTGCTAAATAAATAGGACAGCTTACCATCATCTCCTATTGATATCTGCCATTAAGCCTCTACCTCGGCACTGTAGGTGATGTCAGTGGTGTCCGTCTCAGGGAACTCAAACTAGTAGTTCACTGAGCAACTCCTCCTTGACCAGGCCTGCAGCGATTATAAATATGAAGAACAGATATATTACGTTACATAAATGACACAAGATAGAAAAGGCACAGACAGTCCCATACCTTCCAAGGTTGGGAACACCAAATTCAGGATAATTTCTAAGCAGGGGAGGGGGGGGGGGGTGTTTTAAAAAGAAATATTGAGAACAAATTTGCATGAAGACAACTTCATTATATTTATATATTGCACTGCCTATGCTCATGGGATTGCAGCCGTCCACAGTGATGGCAAAAACTCTTCTTTAGTACAAAAGAGAGGGGGAGGGTAATTTCTCTTTTCGGGAGGTTTTTCTGTCAATCATACAAACTGATCAAAATTTAAGAGACTTCTGGGTAATACGGGGAAGTTGGCAGGTGTGCAATACTAAACAGACACAATTTGCTACCGGCAATGGCAAAAGAGAATGCAGGTTGGATCAGCTATGCATAAAGGTACTTTGAACAACATATACCATATAGAGTGTACTCACGCAAGGCTAGCGAGCGGTGCACTCTGGGTACATCACCGTATTTGTGTTCGTGAAAGCAGACAGCGGAAAGCGCACAGCCTCACGGGCCACACTATGAAGCGAGCATTCTACGGTTCAGGTGACACCACGCATGAAAAAGATGTCGCTCTTGTGCGACAGTCTGCTGTTGCACAAGGAAAAAAGATGAACTGGAGAAAAAAAGACAAGGACAGCAGGCGTTGCAGACTCCCAGTTTCTGCAAATCCCGAGAGTCCGAACATGCGTGCAAAATGGCTTGGACACTCGACTTGAAATGAGAATGACTCACTAGCATCATCGGGCAAAGCCCACACAAAAATCACGACAAGTGGAGAGTATGTGAGCATGTTAGTGAAGTTAATTAGTGCCCGTCTATTTTGTGTGTCCAAATAAATAAATAAATAAATATATATATATATATATATATATATATATATATATATATATATATATATATATATATATATATATATATATATATATATATAGATAGATATATATATATGAGTAAAGCTATACGCACTCCGGAATGCACTTCGGACAGAAACGGCTATACCCACTCCGCTTTTCTCGCATGAAACGAGTGGTCACAACGAATTTTCTAAGCGGAGGCATGGCATAGGGGTCAAGGTGTCCGCTTCACACGCAAGTGGACGCAGGTTCCATCCGCAGTGGGCCTTCTTTTTTTTCTTTTTTTTTTCTCAACCATTTTGTTTTGTCGAGGCATTTGGCGATATTTAGGACATTTCTTTTTTTTTGCGATAAACAGTAAAAAAAAAAAAAAAAATCGAACGTTGTTGAGAAACTTCGCAAAACTAAATGGTATGGGACCCCCTTTCGAGGTGCGATCGAGGACAGCGGGGCTTGGATTGCCTGCTGGACGCCGCGAAGCGGCGTGTACTGGTTACGATTTTAATTAGCAGCCGATACTGTCGCCGCGAAGCGGCGTGAACGCAGGCGGGGGGCTGTGTTAACGAGCTCCCCAGTGATACACGCGCCGTTCTAAAAGGGTGGCCCGAGCGGCATGATCTCTCGGAGGAGTGCGTATAGCCATTTCCGTCCGAAGTGCACTCCGGAGTGCGCATAGCTTTACTCTCTCTCTCTCTCTCTCTCTCTCTATATATATATATATATATATATATATATATATATATATATATATATATATATAGCGCAGTAGATCAAACGGCTCCAACCACAATGTTTTCTTTTTTTACGCGTTTCGCTCGCGTCGCTTGAGATCACCCACAGTGATAAGACGCGCGGGCCGACAAAGAAACCTGGCCAGCAGATATGGGTAGGCAGCGATGCGTGCCGACGCGAAGTGACGACCCACGTGCGATAAAACGTTTGACAGGCCGACCGACGTGTTGGGTGACCGAATCATGGCTTCGCGATTGTAACTCGCAACCCGTCGGACGGTTTGACGAAAAGCGCGAGGAGAGATGCTCGCCTAAGGAAAATACCTGTCAGAATACACTTCTCGGGCGCGATTAGGCAAAGGCAGGGCAAGGAAACAAACCAAGGAGATGCTTGAACGGAAGCTTCGACGCAAATGAAGTTCAGGGTGGATTGGATTGGCTTGTAAAAGACTTTGTTTCGAGGTGTATAATAAATGCGAAAATAAAAAAGTTAACGTAACATTATTCGTAAAACAGTGGCAAACCGAAACAATAAAACGTTTTAACAAACTTAAAAAACTAAAAGAAATGTATTAAAATAAAAGTTTTATACGCGATACGAAACGTCGCTTAGCCACACAACTACGACAGGAATTTAGTTTCGGTTTGGAATCGGAGGCTGCGTATTTTCGACACCGATTGGATATCCAGGGGGCGTGGACAATGGCGTCATGGACGTAAAAATAGCAGCTTTTATTTTGACATCTTAGTTATTTTTACGTCAACAACACGTTTTCTTTGGATGCCGCTGACTGCATTGTGAAATGTCCGTCGCTCGGCGTGTGTGTGGTAGGGTGCTCGGCGGCTCGGCGGTGTCCGCGCTGGTGCGTGTTGTCAACATTGCCGCCTGTACTCGTCGCGTTCTTAGGAACATCAAAATAAGCGTTCTCCATTTTCAAACTTCGCCCGGTGCCGTCCGTCACTCCTGTTGCAAATGAAGATTACGTGTACCGGAGGCGACAGAGCCCAGCCGCAGTAATTTCGTACGCATTTTTCTGGAGCTCTACTTGTGTGCAGTACGACGGATTATCACCCTTGCATAGAATAGCTGCGAAGGCCGTGCAAGCAGCGAGCGAGTAGCGTTGACTGGCATGACTGCACCCGATGCTGGAGCGCTCGTGGCGCGCGATCCAAAGCAACGAGCTCGGGCTTTTAGCACTGTCGTCGACAGCATTTTTCTTTTCTTTTTTTCAGTGTTAGTCATAAAAAAGAAATGTCGTAAATATCGTCAAATGTCCCGCCAAAACAAAATGTCCGAAAAAAAAAAAAAAAAAAAGGCGGCCGAGGCTGAGGTTCTTAAGGGTCTATGAAGTAATTTTTTTTATTTATTTGTTTGCCAGTTTTTTTGCGCCCCTCTTTGAATACTGTCGCATTTTTTTGTATTATTTTCATGTTTATTATTCGTTGGTTTTATTTCGGATATTATTTGCATAAGCATTTTTGAGCTGACTTCGCACCTGTGGATATTTTCATGATGGATTCGGGAGCCCATATTCGGGTCTTATAAATTTTGAGCCATTGTAATATCAACTCACTGTAAATAATTTAGGAAAAAATGAAACGTTTGTCTGTAAATATGGTTGTATTAGCGCGTGTGGATGTAGATTGTAGTGATATATTAACAGTATTAAAATATTCAGATATGGCTAATTGTCACATTTTTATTTGCCTGGCTAACAAAAAGTGTGTCAACCAATTTTATTTTAGTGATCTGGTGTCTTCGTGTATATAAACTAATTTATTATTATTTATTGAAAATATAAGAACGTAGGATTTCATTATCCCAAATTGTTAACTTCTCTCATTAATTTAAGAAAATTTACAAAAAAATGTAGAATTCCTGACATATATTCGGCGATTCAAACATTTGGGCAAGGAATGAAGAAATGCGTTGCATCCTTAACATGTTGTTTGAAGTTATATAGACGAACATGGTCGCTCCCAGAAATCAGTAATTGTAAAGTAATTGCATTACTTTTTGATGTAATTTGTAATTGTAATGAATTATTTTTCACATAGTAGTAGTTGTAATTATGGTTAAACTACTTTTGGAGCGAAATGATTTTAGTTGTAATTAAATTACATTTTGGAAGAAATTTACCATGTATGGTTTTCTTCAATTTGCCGCGGAACACAAGGCCAATTGAACCTCTAGCGTATATTATAACTATGGTTTGTACCTAAAGTTTGATTTACTTGCAGCAGAATTTGGCCGGTATTGCACTGCCACCGGGGGCGCTTGATTGACAATAGGATGAGTATAAAAAGACGATACCCGAATTCTGTATTGACACCTGCCAATAAAAAGACGCTAAAGGGTTCTTTCGCCATTTGATTGCCATTGTAGCGCCTACCACGTCAGTGCCAAACTTCAATAAAGGGGTAATACCGTGTCCATAAATTTCAAGCGAGAGCAATCGAATGGCGATAGGGGCAATAGAATGTCAGTCAGATGTATATTGAATGGCCGAAGCCATTTTTATAGGAGAACAGCACACCATGGCTGCTGGTAATCCCCACCGACCTTAGAGCAGAGATCTTCCAAGCCTGTCACGACGATCCGACGTCCGGACACCTTGGTTACAGCCGTACGCTGGCCCGAATTCGTGAAAGGTATTACTGGCCCAAGCTGCCGAAGACCGTTCACTTCTACACACGGTCCTGCCACGAGTGCCAGCGACGCAAGAAACCGCCGACGAAGCCGGCAGGTCTCCTGCATCCGATCGCTCCCCCGACCGTACTGTTCCAGCAGATCGGAATGGATCTACTTGGTCCTTTCCCACCATCGACGCAAGGAAACAGATGGATTATTGTCGCCACAGATTATCTCACACGGTACGCCGAAACGAAAGCCCTCCCTGTAGGAACTGCTGTGGATGTCGCCAAGTTCTTTATTGAATCCATCGTCCTCCGGCACGGCGCTCCCGAAGTTTTGATCTCAGACCGTGGATCATCGTTCATGGCCCAGCTGACGCAAGAAATCCTTCGTCTCAGCCACACCAGCCATCGGCGCACAACGGCGTACCACCCGCAGACCAACGGGCTGACGGAGAGACTCACAAGACCATCGCCGACATGATCTCCATGTACGTCGACGTGGAGCACAAGATATGGGACGAGGTGTTGCCGTACGTCACATTTGCCTACAACACGGCCGTGCAAGAGACCACCGGGGTGACACCCTTCCAACTGGTTCATGGTCGTAAAGTAACGACAATGCTGGACGCGATGTTAGCCCACGAACCGGCTCTCGACGGAAGCGACGACGCCCAGGTGGTTGCCCAACGGGCAGAAGAAGTCCGCCAGCTCGCCAGACACCGTATTCAAGCCCAACAACGTGTCGACACTGGCCGCTACAACCTTTGTCGTCGGGACGTC